TTGGTTAAGAAGAAAGATGGGAGCATGAGGTTGTGCGTAGACTATAGGCAACTGAATAAAGTGACCATTAAGAATAAGTATCCTTTGCCTAGGATAGATGACCTTATGGATCAACTAGTTGGAGCTTGTGTGTTCAGTAAGATAGATTTAAGGTCAGGATACCATCAGATTAGAGTGAGAGCTGAGGATGTTCCTAAGACTGCCTTTAGAACCCGCTATGGGCACTATGAGTATTTAGTTATGCCTTTTGGTGTGACTAATGCACCTGGTGTTTTTATGGACTACATGAATAGGATCTTTCACCCTTACTTGGATAGATTTGTAGTGGTCTTCATAGATGATATCCTAGTGTATTCCAAGACTAGGGAAGAGCATGTTGAGCACCTTAGGATCGTTCTTCAAACCCTTAAGGAGAAGCAGTTGTATGCTAAATTGTCAAAATGTGAATTTTGGTTGGATAGTGTGAACTTTCTAGGACATGTGATATCCAAGGGTGGAATAGTTGTAGATCCTGCTAAGGTAGAAGCTGTGTTAGATTGGAGAACACCTAAATCATTATTTGAGATTAGGAGTTTTCTAGGACTAGCCGGTTATTACAGAAGGTTCATAGAGAATTTCTCTAGGCTAGCTCTTCCTTTGACTAAACTGACGAAGAAGGACCAACCTTTTGTGTGGGATTCTAAGTGTGAGGAAAGTTTTCAAGAGCTTAAGAGAAGGTTAACTAGTGCCCCTGTGTTAGTGTTGCCTGATCCTAGTAAGACTTTTGAGGTATTTTGCCTCCATCTCTTTCAAATCTCCATAGTGTCTTTCATGTTTCTCAACTCAGAAAATATGTCCATGATCCTTCCCATATCATTGAGTCTGACAACATTCAGTTGAAGGATAATCTTACCTATGAAACAGTTCCTTTAAGAATTGATGACACGAGGGTGAAACAACTAAAAGGAAAGAAAATCCCTTTGGTTAAGGTCGTTTGGGGAGGAAATATTGAAGAAAGTGCTACATGAGAGTTAGAAAGCAAGATGCGAGAAGCTTATCCATCTCTATTTTCAGGTAAATTTCGGGGACGAAATTTCTAAAAGGAGGGGAGAATTGTAACACCCAATTTTTTTAATGGCATTTTCGTAATTTTAATAAAGTTATAGGGGTATTTTGGGTTCCGGAACGGGCCGTTCCAAAAGTGGAACGGGTCGTTCCAAATGTTGAAAACGTGTTGTTTTTGTTGTCCCAGAATGGGCCTGGAACGGACCGTTCTGGAAGGGAGAACGGGTCGTTCTGAAAGCAGAACGGGCCATTCTGTTAGGTTTTGGAACGGGTCGTTCTGGTTTCAGAACAGGCCGTTCTGCTTTTCGGGAACGGGCCATTCCGATTTTGGAACGGGCCGTTCCAGTTGAGAATTTTGCCCAGATTTGAAGGATCCGGAACGGGTCGTTCCGGGTGCATCAGAATGCCTATAAATAGGGGCATCAGGGGTGAAAAAAAATATAACGGAGTGAGAGGTAAAATCTTAGAGAGAGAAAGAAGAGAGAGAGAGAGAGAGAGAGAGAAAGAAAGAAAAAAAGAGAAAGAAAGAGAGAGGGAAAGAAAAAAAGGGAACCCAGAAGAGGAGGCTCTGCCCAAGTTCCAGCTCCACTTATCCAGGTAAGGGGGGAGTGAGAACCTCGCTCAGGGGTGTGGGGATAATTGTTGGATAGTTGTTTGTTGGATTGGTCCCCAATCCTTTGCCGTTGTGCTGTCTTATTTTCTGTTTGCTTTACTTTATTTCTTGTTGGAAATAATAAATGATTATGTAATCTCAATCTCTTGCCGTTGTTCTGTTTGATTTTCTATTTACTCTACTTTGTTCTTTGTTGAAGGTGTCGTTGTTCTGTCCGATTTTCTATTTATTCTACTTTGTTCTTTGTTGAAAGTAATAAATGAATATGAAATTAATGTTAATAATAAATGGGTTTTAATATGAAAAAGAATGCTCTCTGGATCTCTGTGAATTCCTATGCGGACCTTATGAGGAGTATTTATGACATGACCATGTGAAATATGGACAAATGATATGAGACCTAAGAATGGACTATTGAGACAAGATGTGATTATGAGGACATGAAAAATGATGACATGATGTACTTAATGAAATTTTGTAATAAGTCAAATGTTGGGTCAATGAGATTATGAATGTATGACATGCATCATATGCATATATTACTCCAGGTGTGCTGCTGAGGCCGCATACCAACGATGCTAACTAGGTGTACCCTTGGGTCACCCACGACGTAACATGCTAGGTGTACCTTCGGGTCACCCACGATGTAACATGCTAGCCAGGTGTATCTTAGGGTCACCCACGATGTAACATGTTAGCCAGGTGTACCTTAGGGTCACCAACGATGAATTGTGAATCTTCCGTATGGCGCCACATGCATGCATTTATGAGTCGAGTCCATGACATCATAAGCATGATAAATGAATATATATGTGATATTGACTATTTATGTGTATTGTTTACATGTGACTTATATATGTTGTGTGTGTGTGTGTGCTATCTAGCAGTTATTTCTGCACCTAAAACTGAGTGAGATGTTATTATTTTTAAAAGCTTTAATTTTCTCTTCTTTTGTAATTTTGAATGTTCTTGAGAAAAGACCAAAATGTACATCTTTGTCATACTATTTTATTACATGATTTTAAAGTTACAAATTAATTCCTAACTAGGAGGCACTGCTACCTTTGCTGGAATTAATCTATATTTTCTTTTATATGATTCCTTGGGTTTTAATACTTATATGTTGACTTTTTATGATTGATGAGTTATGAATGTGAATCTTCTACCTTATGATATTTGAAACAATTATTTTATACATGAAAGATGTTTTTAAACTATGAAAGATTTTATTTACCTAAAAAGAAGAAAAGAAAAATTTTATTGTTATATTTGTTGTATATTAATGTTGGGGTAGAGGATGTCACAAGGAACATGAAGTGGACTACGAAAGACAAGTTGAAACTTAAGGTTAAAGGTATAAGGAAACCAAGTTGAACCTGTAAAAGCTATGGGGGGCTTGACCATTGCCAACAAGTATCTAATCAAAACCTTCTCATGGAGTAGATTGTTGGATGTTTAACTAATCTGGAGTCACATGATGGGAAGCTTCTGAGTTAGGATACCATCTCGAGGAACCAATGTTATTGACATTAGAGATAAAGACCTTAAGTGCTGCTAAAAAATTATTGTTGATGAAAGCATTGTTATAATTAGTGTTGGCACCATAATTGTTTCCATATTGGTAATTAGAAGTATAACTATTTCCGAACTATTGGAAGTTGTTGGATATTTGACTAGAATTGAAACATTGACCAAAGTTATTGTTGAAAGGAGCATAGTTAGGGTTATATCGATGATAGCAGATTGAAGCATCATGGACAAATTTATTACACACTTGTCACTGGATTGAGTCGCGGCCTCCATGATCATGTCCATAGTTGCAACCTATGCCTCTTCCATATATGCCTTGTTGATGATTGGGGTTTGTTTAATACAATTGCAAGTTGTTGGCAACATGAACCTGTAGTTGCTTCAAATCAGAAATACACTACTTTTGAGGTTGAATTATAAAGATGAACAATGACTATGTTTATTACGTTCTTGCGATATCATTCCAACCGCACCTCTTAAGCCAACAAAAGTGCTTTGAGTTCGTTAAGATCATACGGTTCCAATCTGTTGGTAACAAGGTTGATTAACGAATCATATTCTTCTAAAAGATCTTTAACTATTACATATAATAGTTTTTGAATCGAGACAAGATCATCGATGGAACAAAGCACATTAATAATAGCTTTGA